CACAGGCGCCCGCCACAACGCCTGGCTATTTTTTTGGTTGCAGCCAGAATTGTTGTTTGGTGGACCCGGGCTGGATTTGAACCCACCAGCTTAGGTGTATGTGGCTGGCGCTTTAGCCACTTGAGCCACAGACGCCAAGCCTACAGCAGTGATTCTTTCCATAATCCCAGTTATGAGAGACAGAATCTACTCCTTCAGCTTAGGTGTTTATTTGAGTTTTGTGATTTCCTAATTGGTTTTTAGATTACTCCCAAAGATATTCCTGACTTTGCATTAATGAGCTTAATAATTATTTGCATATTTGTTTATCATGGATGACTGCAGTGTCTCATTAATTACATTTTTTAAGAGAGGAGATCTTGCTCTGTATTCATGGCTGGAGTGCAATGGTACAATTTGTAGCTAACTGAAGCCTCAAACTCCCGGACTCAGGTGATCCTGCTGCTTCTGATTGTCGAGTTCCTGAGAGATTATAGTCATGAATCACGGTGTCCAACTTAAATAGTTTTACTATAATTTATAGATATGATTTTCCAGTGTGCATTGTGCAACATAACTGAAATGCACCACTTGTTAATGTCACAAAGGGCCTATTCTATGATGATACAGACAATTTTGTTTAGAAAAACATTATATTTGCTAAGATTGTTTTGTTGATCTTTTCTTCTTTTCTCATTGCTAATATTATAATCCAGAATTACCATTTACAGTAGAACCTCTGTAGATTGACCACCCAAGGGCCTGTCACAAACAGGTCAACATATGGAGGTAGTCAACATAAGAAACTAGGCCTACTGTACTGATAATGTACTGTACATGTGGTACATGTCTAATCTATGAAAATTAGGTCAGCTTAAGGAGGAGGTCATTATAGGGAGGTGGTCAGCTATGGAGGTTCTACTCTGTATATTTACGTATATTTGTGCAATGTGAATGTTTTATTATGATGTTGGAAACTAGAATTCCCTAAAACTAATTTGACGTATATTCAACGACTCTTCCTTTATTAAAGAATCCTGGGGCAGTGCCTGTGGCTCAGAGGAGTAGAGCACTGGCCCCATATGCCAGAGGTGGCGGGTTTAAGCCCAGCCCCGGCCAAAAACTGCAACAACAACAAAAAAAAGAATCCTATTCTTGGCTCGTCACCTGTAGCACAGTGGTTATGGCACCAGCCACATACACCAAGGCTAGCAGGTTCAAACCCAACCAGGGTCAGCTAAACAATAATGACAATTGCAACAAAAAAATAGCTGGGCATTGTGGTGGGTACCTGTAGTCCCAGATACTTGGGAGGCTAAGGCAAGAGAATCACTGAAGCCCAAGAGTTTAAGGTTGCTGTGAGCTGTGACGCCGGGGCACTCTACTGAGGGTGATATAGTGAGACTATGTCTCAAAAAAAGAAAAAAAAGAATCCTATTCCTTTTGTGTCCCTAAATGTTGATGACCATGGTTAGGGAGGTTTTTTTTTTTTTTAATTTACTTATTTATTTAATTTCAGGTTAATAATGAGGGTACAAACAGTCAGGTTACATTGTTTACATTTGTTGAGTAAAGTCCAAATTGTAGTTCAGCACTTCATCCAGAGGTATGCCATATACCCCTAGGAAGTTTTAAATGTATATTGCTTTTTGTATAATATTATACATTTCAATATTAAATATTTACCTACTATCTGTAGTTAATAGGAAACTTACGGATTTTTATATCTTGTAGATATCTTTCCTAAATGCGTGATCAAGAAATTACCCCCAACAGAGAAAAGTAGGACAGGAGATACACTCCACACACTGATGTTGGAAAGACATGAACGCCATCCCAGTGGAGATTTTTGCTTCAGGGAAATTCAGAAATGTGTCTATGACTTTGAGTTTCAGTGGAGAAATGAAGAGCAAAATGACAACACAGTACCTTTGACAAAAAAAGATAATTTTACTGGTAGTAGAGATCAATGTGATATAAGGGATGCTAAAAACAAGTCTATTACAAATGAGCTTGGGTTAAGCTTTCAGTCATATCCTCCTGAACTACATGTATTTGAAACTGATGGAAAAATTTGTCATCAAAGTGAAAAATCTGTTATTAGTGGTTCCTCAGATTCAACACCCCAAAGAATTTCTTCTAGGCTCAATATCCATGTTTCTTATCAATATGAGAATAATTTCACCCATTCTTCAATACTCACAGAAAAACAGAAAGCACATCTTAGAGAAAAACGTTACAAATGTACTGAATGTGGCAAATCTTTCATTTATGTCACACACCTTAGTATACATCAGACAATCCATTCTGGAGAGAAACAATATAAATGTGATGTATGTGGCAAGGCCTTTAATCAGAAATCAAACTTGGCAAGTCACTATAGAGTTCATACTGGAGAGAAACCATATAAATGTAAGCAATGTGACAAAGTTTTCAGTCGTAATTCACACCTTCAAAGACACTGGAGAATTCATACTGGAGAGAAACCTTACAAATGTAATGAATGTGGCAAAGTCTTCAGTCAAGAAGTAAACCTTGCAAGTCATCAGAGAATCCATACTGGAGAGAAACCATACAAATGTAATGAATGTGGCAAAGTCTTCAGTCAACCCACACTCCTTGCAAATCATCGAGGAATTCATGCTGGAGAGAAACCATATAAATGTAATGAATGTGGCAAAGTATTCAGTAGGACTGCGACCCTTGCAGTTCATCAGAGAATTCACACTGGAGAGAAACCCTACAAATGTAATAAATGTGGCAAGGTCTTCCGTCACAGTTCACACCTGACCAATCATGGGAGAATCCATACTGGAGAGAAACCTTACAAATGTAATAAATGTGGCAAGGTCTTTACACAAACTTCACACCTTGCATTACATCACAGAATTCATACTGGGGAGAAACCATATAAGTGTAACGAGTGTGGCAAAGCCTTTAGTCTCCACTCACACCTCACTAGACATCAGAAAATTCATTTTAGAGAGAAATGTTACAAATGCAATGACTGTGACAAAGTCTTCAGTCAAAATTCACTCATACAACATCAGAGAATTCACTTTTCAGACACTTCTCAAAAATGCAGTGAGTATAGCAAAACTTCTCAAAGTGAGTTCAAATATTAATTAACATTAGAGCTTTCATATATTAAAGGAAGTTGTATAAATGATATGTGGCATGAATATTTATCCTGGTTTTGTAATTCACCAAACACCAAAACACACATCTTTGATGAATCCATACAATTGTGAGGTGTCTTCTGAGGTTATTAGCTCTGTATCAAAGCCATAAAACATCTTTTGGTTTATTTCAGTAATGCACTCTTTCTCCACAGTTAACCTTTGAGATTGCATACTGCACAACAATTAGAAGTCAAAATATGTTAAAACATCAAAGTTACCAGGACTTTGGGCTGGTGTGGTGGCTCATGCCTATAATCCTAGCACTCTGGGAAGCCAAAGTGGGTCCATTGCTTGATTGAGCTCAGGAGTTCAAGAACAGTCTGAGCGAAAGTAAGATCCCATCTCTACTAAACATAGAAAAACTAGCTGGGCATGGCGATGCATGCTTGTAGTCCTAGCTACTTGGGAGGCTAAGATAAGAGGATCACTTGAACCCAGGAGTTTGAGGTTGCTGTGAGCTATGATGATGCCATGGCACTCTACCCAGGGGGACAGAGTTAGACTTGAAAAAAAAAAAGTTACCAGAACTTTTTAGAAATGGACGATTTTCTTCATGGTTATTCAATTATTTGAGGTTTATTCAGAAGGGTACATTCCTACTTATGACACTTAACAATATGAACTTTGAAATCTGTTACTATTATATATCCTTAAAGGCCTCTCATTGTCTCTGAACAAGTATCAGTAACATGAAAGACCCTCCCTCATTAAGTCAGGGTCATTTCTACCCAAGTTCCTTGAGGAAGAATTACTCTGGCTTTTAAATATATCTGAATTAGCATGTGGGAGGTGCTGAGAATAATGTCAAACTATGATGTCACCATGCTTACTGTGTTCAGGGTACCTTTTTCCTGACAGGAGGTCTACTTGGGTTAAATGAAAGAAGCAGTTTACCAGTTCACCATGAAATAGAACAAGCCAAGATCTTAAGACATGGAGGTCCTTTTTTTCTTTGAGGCAGAGTCTCATTCTGTCACCCTGAGTAGAGTGCTATGACTTCATAGCTCACAGCAAACTCAAACTCTTGGGCTCAAGAGATCCTCTTCACCCTCCTGAGTAGCTAGGACTACAGACACTCACCACAACACCCACCCTATTTTTAGTAGAGACAGGGTCTTGCTCAGGCTGGTCTCAAACTCCTGAGCACAGGTAGTCCACTCACTTCGGCCTTCCAGTGTGCTAAGATAATAGGCTAGAGCCACTACACCCAGTCAGACATGGGGTCTTTATAGGAGGAGATTAATAGTTTATTAGGGACTGAGGACTATGGTAGCAATAATGCAGGGAAAATGGTGGCTGTCTTTTCCATTGAATGGCAATTGCTATTTAGCAATGAAAAAATACTCTGGGAAAAGCAGAATAGGCTTCCCAACCTAGTCTGAAAATGGCTTGAGAACAGCAATAGGTGACTCCCTGGCTTAACTTGCTGTGGTTAGAGTGGTGGTACCCACTTGTGCTTTCAACTTCCAACTGGTGTCCTAGGAGGCAGCAGTGAGCCATTGTCCTCCGTTGTCCAGATGGTATGATAGGAAGTATAAAGGGTGTTAGCAGTCACATGTGAGAGACAAAGTCTTGAGTCTTCACTGCCACCCAGAATGTTAATTCTTTTTTTTTTTTTTTTTTTGAAACAGAGTCTCACTTTGTCACCCTGGGTGGAATGTGGCATCATCATAGCTCACAGCAACCTCAAACTCTTGGGCTCAAGTTATCCTCATGTCTTAGCCACCCAAGTAGCTGGGACTACAGGAACCACCACAATGCTCAGCTCTTTTTTTCAAGATGAGGTCTCACTTATACTTAGGCTGGTCTCAAACTCCTGAGCTCAAGCAATCCACCTGCCTTGGCCTCCCACAATGCTAGGATTACAGGTGTGAGCCACCATGCCTGGCCTGCATAAGATGTTTTTTACAATAATTCAATGAAAATTAATGTATAGAAAGGTGTATTATAAAATAAACAGTGGGCCAGATGTGGTGGCGCATGCCTGTAATTCTAGCACTCTGGGAGGCCAAGGTGGGTGGATTGCTTGAGTTCAGGAGTTTGAGACCAGCCTGAGCAAGAGCAAAACTTCATCTTTACTAAAAATAGAAAAACTAGCTGAGTGTTGTAGTAGGCACCTATAGTCCCAGTTACTCAGGAGGCTGAGGTGGGAGGATTGCTTGAGCCCAAGAGTTTGAGGTTGCTGTGAGCTATGACGCTGTGGCATGGCTTCCCACCATAACACAGTGAGACTCCGTCTCAAAAAAAAAAAAAAAAATAGGAGAAAGATATGAACAAAGGTCAAGGAAGTCTTATGCTGCTTGGTTACTGTGTTTAAGAAAGGGGCATTGGCTCAGCGCCTGTGGCTCAAATAGCTAAGGCGCCAGCCACATACACCTAAGGTGGCGGGTTTGAATCCAGCCCGGGCCAACAACGATGGCTGCAACAAAAAAAAAATAGCCAGGTGTTGTGGCGGGCACCTGTGGTCCCAGCTACTTGGGAGGCGAAGGCAGGAGACTCGCTTGAGCCCAGGAGTTGGAGGTTGCTGTGAGCTGTGGTGCCATGCCATGGCACTCTGCCCAGGGAGATAGCTTGAGGCTCTGTCTCAAAAAAAAAAAAGAAAGGAGCATTGAGGACCTGATGTCTCAGACTCAATGAGGCAGTTAGGAATTAGTCCAAGTTCTTTGTTTCCCCTGGAGGCCATTTTGCCCTATACTCAGGATAAAAGAAGAAAAGTGGAGAGAGGAATTAATGAATGACATTAGGAGGTTGGGGATAAGCATGGCATCCCATGGTGCCTACCTGTTTATGGTCCCTACCTGTTTGTGGGTGGAGCCCTTTGGGCCACTTTGAGTGGCGTATCTGTGAGTGCATGACAGTCTTTGGCATTTTGGCTGCCTCTAGCACACAATATCACTGGGTTATGTTCACTTACAGCTAACAATGTGAGCCATAACAGCAAGGCACACACAGATCTCCACAGCCACCCACCTAATCTAAGCTCCAGTGGGTTGTTTGATAAAGTAGTGCTGCATACTAACTGGGATAAAATAACATTCTTTCTAATTCAGAGCTTGCTGCAGATAAAAATGCTACGATCCACTCTGTCACCATATATCAGCTTAGCCTGGCTGCTGCTGAAGACATCCCAGGGCATAGGAAATAACAGTGGATGGTCCGGGTGGTGCCCATTGCTCAGTGGGTAGGGCATTGGCCACATACACCAAGGCTGGTGGGTTCAAGCCCTGCCCGAGCCAGCTGAAACGGTGACAACTACAACAAAAAAAGAAAGAAAGAAAAATAGCCAGGCGTTGTGGCGGGCACGTGTGGGCCCAACTGCTTGAGAGGCTGAGGCAAGAGAATCACTTAAGCCCAAGAGTTTGAGGTTGTGTGAGCTGTGATGCCACAGCTCTCTACCCAGGGCTTGAGACTCTGCCTCAAAAAACACGAAAAAACAATGGATTGTCTAAGGCTGAATGCCAAGATCACTTGTGTGGGAGGCCAAAGTAATGTCCCAGTTAGAGTCAAGCAAGAATAGTTGGCCCTGATGACACTTGCTAATAAAACAGGAGGCCTGACAACTAATAGGCCTCCATGGGAACAGAAGACATCAAGTACCCCACCTGGTTTTTCTTTTAACCCTTAGTTAAGGTGACCTGAGAGACAGAATCCAAGATCTGGCTTACAAAGTGAATGTTTGGTGCCCATCACCTATAAGGGAGATAGAGGTGCCTGATTTAATTTTTCTGGCTCTGTGGCAGAATGTCACAACCGCAACTAGCAAAAACCTTAGTGCTACTTCATTGACGACCCATTCCTTTAATTACGTGCATGACCCATGATCATGACACACACAAGGACTAGACTAGTTCTAGCCTTCTGTGTAGGGGAATCATTAACAGTACTATATGGGGGTAAAAGAGCTTGTGCAAATGTGGCATCAATTGGAAGGTCAATACCAATGCTTCCATTGAAAAGCAATGTATAAAGGGAAGAAAGGTATTGGACAAACTGAATTAGAATACATGGAATAAGAAATGGCAAGTAAAAACATACAAAAACAAAAAGTCATTTTACTACAATTGACCATACTCTATATTTTTCAGTACCATGAACTGAAAATGATATTTCCATTCTCTTTGAGAAAATACCCTTCTAGAAAAGTCAGTCATGTTTTATATACATTTATTTATTGTATTTATTTTTTCTTGAGAGAGTCTCACTATGTTACTCCAGGTAGACTGGCATCATAGCTCACAGCAACCTCAAACTCCTGGGCTCAAGCAATTCTCCTACCTCAGCGTCCTGAGTAGCTGTGACTACTGGCACTGCCAGCAACCCCAGCTGGTTTTTCTATTTTTAGGAGAGCTGAGGTCTGGCTGTTGCTCAGGCTTGTCTCTGAACTGAGCTCAGGCAATCCACCAACCTTGGCTTCCAGAGTGCTAGGATTGCAGGCATGAACCACCACCCTTAGTTAAAATGAGGTTTTTTTTTTTAAGTACCCCTTGGTGACCACCTTATCATTTCTTCTGCGACCTCCATGCCCTGAATGCTATCCCTGTGAGAGTCTCTGAAACTGAGCTCAGGCTTGAAGCTCTCCCTCCTGAGTAAATGGAGAATAGGTGTTCTGTTGGGCTGCAGCATGAAATTGTACGTTGATGGCTCGGTGCCGGTAGCACACTAGCACAGTGGTTCCGGCGCCAGCCACAGACACCCAGGCTGGTGGGATTGAACCC